ATAAAGTAAATACATTATTTTATCAATTCAATCATGTCTGATTACACAATTAACTCTTTAACTTAACTTGTGAAATTGAAAATGTTAACAAATTAATCGAATCCCTTAAAGGTGAAGAAAAATTTTCTCTTCATCTTATCAATCAAATCAATTGTTTAATCAATTAAATAATCCTGATAGACTTTGGTTAATCTTTATCTTCTTGTTGATTGAAATTAGAAACCCGGAAGTAGTTTAATTCATGTAACTTGAAATAATCGCCATTTATTATCGTTGTTTCAGTAAATGAAACAAGATACTCTTTAGATTATCTAATAATGTGTACATGATATTATCTTGTTGATAAACTTTCAATCTCTCTTTCTCTCTCTCTTTCTCAATGATTTCTCATTAATGATTACACTCTTAATCTTCAATGGAAGTTGTTGATAAGATTAATTAGATTAGATTTGTTTGGATTTTTATTGTTTATAATAAATCAAGAAGCGAAAAATGTAATTGAGTAAATATTAAACTTCAATTGTACATTAAGAGTTTTAATCTACCACTGAACTTTTTTGTTTGCTCATTGTTTTTTATATTATGGAAAAGGAAGAAAACTTTTTTTCTCTTCTCTATTACTTTTTCCATGATAAATTGAAACTCATGGATTTCTGCTTGAGAGATTGTGGTTAATATCCAAGTAAATATAAGTATATTCAATTGTAAGTTGGAAAATTAATTCAACAATTAAATCCTGTGAATATTATGCAATAGTAATTGAATTGTTATTTATATTCGTGAATTATCCTATCCTAAGATAATTAGAAAGTCATGAATGAAAAGAAATTCCATCTCATGAGATTTAGATGAAACTTCAACGGAATAAAAAATGAAAAGATATTAATATATTAAAGGATTTTCAGAGGAAAATCACAATTTTTCTTGGTAACAGTTATTTCTCATTTAATTCATCTTATTTTTCAACCATCATATTTATTAAGACGATTAACTTATGATCTAAATTGTTGATGAAATGGTTAATCCATCTCTCGATTGAAAACTGATGAAGATGCAACAACTATTACAAACAGAAAAGATTCAGATATTCAATAGAAAATATCTTTTTTTTTGCTTTTCGACCAAAAGTCATTTCCGTTTTGTTGATACCTTGTTTTTATTGAGAGTTGAGAATATCTTTCTTGAAATCTTAGAATATTTTCCTTTTCATCAATGGTTTCCCTTGGAATTACCTCAACATGATTCTTGTTTATCCTCATCTTCTTAGTTTACAGTTCTCATCATAGATTTTGGAGTAACATTTCCTTCTTGGCAGACCATTAACGGTATTTTGTCATCATCATTATCGTCTCTTTCTCTCTTCTCATTGATCTTTGTCTTTATTTTTATCTCACGATTATCTTCATTCTCATAAATAACATTATCACCACCAATGGTTATCATTCTTATATCTTTAAAGATGAAGATTTTTGTTGTTTTCCAACTTTTTTTGTAGTTCCCTTGACTACTCTAAGGGATTATTAAATCTAGTTAACGAATCTACCTTATCTCTTTTCATCAATATCATCATGATTCTGATAATCCTTATGAACCAAAATCAGAAAATTCTATGTCTATCCTACAAGTTACAACTTCTTCATACTCAGAGTATGAAACTATCACAGGAAATTTTATTATGTTTACATGTTTATTGTCTACATTAATATATTATCGTGTTATTTTAGCTCAAAATCATAAAAAAATTGATCGGCTGATTCCTAATAATTTTGTATCGGTTTATAAATGTCAAATTGTAGAGTTGAACTTGTTTCAAACGCTTAGCTAATTTGCAAAAAGTAAATCCTGATGCAACTAATTTAAAATCAACTCGGCTAATTAACTGAAAAATTATTTGGATAACTTCAACTTAAATAATAGTATTACAACTTGATCGATAAGAAATTGCATCGAGCAGAAAGTTACTAAGTAAATTGTTGTTGCGTGTTGATGGACACAACGAAGGAAAATAAAACAAACACAAACAAAAATGAAAATGAAAATATCAATAAAAAATAAGAGTGAAAAAAAACTCGATGACTTTTTATGATGACAATGTTTTGAAAGTGATGGATGTTCAGTTGTCCAGTTTTGCTTGGACCTTTCATCGGTTCCATTGAACTTGAGAGGATTTCTCAGCTCATGTATTTTTTGGTACAATAATAATACATCAGATTAAGCATAAAATAGCGGAGAAGGCAGCAAGAAAAAACAAAGATTCAGAGATTGAGAGAGAGAGAAAAGTAATTTATCCTCTCATCTGGCCTGGATTATTGTAGGCGTATTAAGGTCTTCAGTGGATAAAGCAAGGGAGGAGGAAGAGAGAGAGAGAGAGAGTGGAAGGAGATGAAAGTAGAGAAGAAGAAAAAAACAATGTGCTGAGAGATAAATGAGATGACAGTGGATAAATTTTTTGCTTCCATGTATACATGTACTTAAAATGTCGCCGACTGTAGACCTGAATCAAGGGAGAGAAAGAGAGGGAAAGTGAAAATAGAGATGAAAATGAAGATGATGAAAGCAAAAAGTGAGCATAAGACGAAAAAAAAGTTCTGATATGAGAAGTGATGAAGCGACATGGAGAGTGAAAGATATCGAAAGATCAAAGCTTAACCTGAACATCAATCTTGTCCTTTTTTCTTGTGCTCCATTATCATTACTTTCATCTTGTTGGTCATTTTTGTCATCAATGTGATCATCTCAACACTTAGCTCACTCTTTACATTTTTTTCTCTTCTTCTTCTTCTTCTTATCTCTCTCTCTCTCTCATTTTATCTCACTTGGTGTCTTCACTATTTGTTTACGTCTTTTCTTGTTACTTAACTTGTTAATCTTACAACATTTACTGTTGATGATACATTTTTCTTAGACTATGATACCCTTCAAAAACCAAGGTGAATGTCTGATAATAACAACAAACATATTGACATTATAATGATAAGAAAGAAAGAAAGAAAGAAAGAGAGAGAGAGAGAGAGAGAGAGAGAGAGAGAGAGAGAGAGAGAGAGAGAGAGAGAGAGAGAGAGAGAGAGAGAGAAGCAAGAAAAAAACCGTTACTTTTATAATTGAAGAGACATCAATTAACAACGACAATAGATTATCATCATTTGAGATAATCAAGTTATAATTAAGCTTATTGTGAACCTGGAAATTATTGATAAACTGAACCGTCCAAGATTGAAACAATGAGTGATTAAGCGTTGATCTAATTATCAAAATCACTTATCAATTTCATCTTTTATATTAGTAATCAAATTTAACTTTTCGAGACATTATATACAACCATTGAAGCTTAGAACTTTAATCTTTGACATTTATTGAACAATATGACATAGAAAACGAATTATTCTGTTGAGTATTTAAACTTTCTGATAATAATGTTCTGGGATTTCATTTGGTAGCAAAATAAAAAGAAGGGGAAAAATGATATTAGATAGAGAATTTAGCTTTTTCTTGGAAAATTCTAATAGAAATCTAAATTTACTGATTCTCTCCAGAGACTCAGGACAAAAAAGACTACGACAATAAGCTATAGTAATCGATTGTAAGTATAATTATCTAATAGAATGATTTATATTAATATATTGGAGAAAAAATTGTCTAAAATTCATTCAAATTATTGAGCAAAATTGAAATTGAAAAAAGAAAGAAAAACAATTTCAATTATATTGATCAATCAACTTTTCGTCTATTGCTTTGAGCATCAATTGATGAATACGAACATTATCTGTATCATTTCAACTTATCTACTTTTTTCACCATGAAATTTACCATGTATCATTTGTTGTCTTCTCAATCAATTGATTTGACTGTGATTGAAATAGAAAATAAAGTTCCTATTGGAATCTATTAGTCTGATAAAAGCCCTAAAGGTGTGACATTAAAATCACAGGTAAAATTTTATTTAGAAATAAAATCAACACCAAATTAATAAAGTATCTTTTCTCATCCGATGCTCTACATTTTCGAATCAATTTTTTATTCTCTATTCTTTCTCATCGACAATTCAATTGAAGTAAAGAAAAAACCATGAGTACAGTTATAAGAAATCGTTCCAAATTCGAATTGAGGCTTTTTTCTCTCTTTCTTCTTTTAGTAATAATAGTACGAATTCGCATATTATTTTCCTTTCAACATTTACCTGTGTAAAAGAAAAACATCTTGGTGAAATTTTCCATCATGAACTGAGGAAATTATTTTTCGACTTAGAAGAATAGAAAATTTTTTCTTCTTCTTTTATTATTATCTGTATATATCATTTTGTTCAGAAGAAAAACAATTTCAACTTATTGATCGGATTGAGGTGAGAAAAGAAAACATAAACTGAATTTAGAGAAATTTATTAAATATTGAAGGTGAAAATAAATTTCGTTTCACAATATTATTACCTGAAGATTAGATATTTGATGATTGGTGAAATTCAGGTAATCATGATTATGTTATCAGCTGAGTATATGGAAGGAAACTTTTCTTACAATCTAATTGTAAACACTTTGATAATGAAGATGAGATTTGGTTTCTGTGAGCCTTTTCCCATTATTACTTTAATCATCTTGTAAATTATGATCAGAATTTTCATTGATAATCGTTTATCACAATTAGTAAATTGAATGTTGATATCTCTTAATGGTGATAAGAAGTTTGGTTTTTTTTTTGCTTTGAGGTTTGAGATTAAGTAAAGGTGATTAATTGATCGACGATGATCCATATCAAACGTTACTGTATTAAGATTAGATTAAATTGTTTTCACTTACATGATAAGAGAACGGAAATAGTATTATTAATCCCAATACTTCCGTTTACATTGATAGTGCTTGTTAGAAACTTGTCATGATTAAACTCTAACTGTTTGTTAATCTATTGAGATTTACTTGTATTTCCTTTATAAAGTTGTCACTCTTCAATTGTGTTTCTAATTTTACAGTTTGATTAATTTAATTCTGTTTTTTTTGCTTAATTCTCAGGCCTCCGTCTTTAATAATTGAATCGGTGAAACTAGACGATGCTGGTGAATATCGTTGCCGTATCGATTTTCGTAAAAGCAGAACTCAATATCGAACTGTCCAATTAGAGGTCATAAGTAAGTAACAACTATTTTGTTTTCTTTTTTAGCTTTTTTTGCTCTCTTTCTTTTCTTCTCTCTTTCTCTCTCGATGTCCAATTATTAGCATTTTCTTGTCTCTGTTCTTTCCTCATTCTTTGGACACCTCCTGTTCCTGTCTACACCCTAATCAGATTCTCCATCTCTATCACAATTCTCACCTTAATCAACACTTCTAACTTTATTCCTGTTAGTTGTTCTCAGATATTGTCAATGAATGTTTACTTTTTCACCTCTGGGAATTGATAGAAAGCTTATCAAATGAAAAGAACGATAATAATAATAATACGATGATGATGATGACGATAGTCGATTCTCTGGTGCTTTTCTCCATCTTCTTCCAATATAACCCAAAGAATATTATGAGCTCTCTCTCTCTCTCTCTCTCTCTCTCTCTCTCTCTCTCTCTCTCTCTCTCTCTCTCTTTGTTTCATCATTGTCATCTTCTTGGTTTTCATTCTTTCTGTAGTATCTCTTTCTTTCTTTTTGATTATTCTTGAACACTAAGGTTCTTTTCCTCATTTTATGGTAAATGCATCAAGCAAACAGAACTAAATATTATCATAATAATACAAAAAGTGTAGCATTTAGAGGGTTAGTATTTATTTCGCTGTATAAATGAGCAAATAAGTGAATGAATGGAAAGAAACAATTGGATTTTCATGAAAGCTCATTTTCCGTTAAGATTGAATGAGAAGGAAAACTTTTTGTTCTGTAGTCTTTTTTTTCTCCATGAAAGTTCCGGTTCTCGAATTGTGTATTGTTATTATCACTAAATTATTATTGGAATAAATTCAGAACAGTAAACTATTGAATTAATTCTTGTATAAATACTTTTTTCAGTATTTAAGAGTAGAAAGAAAAATTTCATCAAATTGTTGGATTTTTTCCAGAATTGAATAAAAATATAATAAGATAATGAGAGAGAAAAAAAGAGAAGTTGATAAAAAGAAATCATTAGCAGCGAGTGTACTTAAATACTGAATCGAGAACCGATAATGTAGATTCGAGAAATTTTTCGAGAAATTTCAACATTCTTATTGATTTTCTTTTTCGTAACTCGTAAAATTCAGTTGGACCAAGAGATGTTGTCATCATGGATGAATTCGGACAGCGACTACGTGATCTAGTTGGACCTTTTAATGAAGGTGCTCATATGACCTTAATCTGTGAAGCTGAAGGAGGTAAGGGAGCTCGTGAATTATTCATTTTATTAGATTATCTTTGATAAACCTGTCAAAATGAGAGGATATCAGAATTCTCAGAGTTGTTATCAAATATTGATTAACTCAAACGATTATTGATTCTCTTGTTTTGATGACAAAAAAATGAATCTTTCCCTTCTAACAGGTTCGCCTCATCCTCAACTTCGTTGGTATAAAGACGGTCATCTAATAGATGAGACTTGGAATATAACCATCCAAGGAATAATTCGTAATGAACTTGCAATAAATCATATTCAGCGAAGTGACTTGATGACAACGTTAACATGCATTGCAAATAATTCAAATTTAACTAAACCAGTATCAACCAGCATCACATTGGACTTAAATCGTAAGTTGAATTTCAACATTAATCGTAAACCTGATATAAGATTAAGAGATTATCATCTAATCTCATCCAACGATTATGCTTTTCTTACTACTCGATAACTCGATAGCATTAGCTTATCATTATATTGATACATAGTAAAAAATAATTGATCTTTAAGTTAACGATCAATTATTTTATGGTAAACAGGCAAACAATTAATGATGATTAAATATGTGTTAACATAACTCATGAACATGAGAAAGTATCATGGTAAAAATTTACGTTGGAGACCAATAATTGATAAAAGATTGATAATGATGATGATATTTATCCTCGAGGGATTAATGATGAAAAGACTCTGAATATGAGGATAACTGATGATGAATCGAGAAATTAATTCAATACAATATTGTATTAGCCTTGTTCTTTGTTAATCTTATCATTGGAAAGTTTTTCTTTTCGGAATAAAGAATACATTGTATATAATATGTAACGAAAAGGAAGACAATGAAAATGCAAATGAAACTATTATGTTAGAACAATAGAATTGAAATTGATACTTTGAACAAGCTAACGATTCATTCGGCATTTGAGAAAATTTTTCCTAATTCGAACTCATCTTCATGTAGACTGATTAGTTTTTTATCGAGTTGGATTATCCATTTTTCTATCGTTATTCTGTATTCCATGAAATTACTTTTATCACATTTGATAGAGTCATGGATCAGGATTTTGTCACTAAAAGTTTCGTTTCTCTTTAAGAACATGATAAGATTAAGAAAAATAGTTCTTGGGATGAAGAAGAGGAAAAAAAATTGATTGAGTTACAACTTTAGAAAATTATTATCTAACTGCAACTAATGACTGATCAGAACTTTTTTTTTCTTCTCACCCTGAACTACATGGTGAAGATTATGCTTAGATTATGTGTTTAGATAAAAATGATCAGAGTAAATGATGAAAAAAAAAGCTTACGGAACTGAACAGTTTGTGTTTATTTTTTTTTCTGGTTGATATGATAAATGAGAAGAGATTAAGATAATGTGCTCATTAAATGAATAACAACATGTTGATAATCGTTTACATTGAGTTAATTTAATGGGTTCGAATTTTTTTTTATTTCTCTTTTTTATTTTTGTCTCTTTTTTTAGTTCGACCAACAAAAGTTCATATTATGAGCCCGAAACATGCTCTCTCTACCGATAAAAGAGTTGAATTAACGTGTAAATCGGAAGGTTCCAGGCCTCCGGCGATTGTTACTTGGTGGAAAGGACCAAAGCGATTGCAACATGTTTCCGAAGATGTAACAAGTTCTGAGAATGTAACAGTTTCCATAGTTCATTTTACTCCAATAGCTGAAGATAATGGTAAAGTACTTTCATGTCGAGCCGATCATTCAATTCTCCCTGATAGTGCCATTGAAGATTCATGGATACTTGATGTATACTGTAAGTAAATAAAACTCTGATATGAACAGGGTAAAGGTTTGGTTTATACACAGAATTTGTCACCTGAATCCAAGGTATAACACTTTTATTCAAACTTTAGTCATTATATCAAGAAGTTTACTGGCGAGAAAAAATAATTAAATGATGATGAAGATTTAAGATAAAAGTAGCAGATGAAGTGGAAAAGAAAATAAGAAATTGTCTTCTCTTTGGGTGTAAATTTCATGGGGATCATTAATTAGTTAGTTAAAGTCTTTCGAATTGTTGAGATAATTATGTTGATAGGAGATTCTTTGTTCTAGGATTGACTATGGATAGAAAAAAAAACGAGTGGAGAAAAAAAATAAACTAAAATAATCTTGGAATAAGTTTGAAAGAGAAAAAGAAGAAGAAGAAGAAGACGAAAAAAATGGGTGACAGAAAATGAAAATTCTGAACAGAAAAAAAAGAACAAAAAAGTTCTGTGAATTAAATTGAGATAAAATTGGAAGGAAATTGTAAAGAAAAAAAAAGTGAGAGAAAAAATGAGACCGAAAATGATTAACATCCAAAAGTCTATGTGAGTGGTAATGGATAACAGAATGATAATGATAATGATTCTGTTGATAATGGTGTTGATTAACCGTTGACGTTGATGATAGTAAATAACAGGAGTAAAAAATCAAGGTAACAATCAATTTAAGTCAAATATTTGATAGTATAAAGGTTAAGTCAGAAAAGAAACTTTTTTTCAAAGTGTTGATGAAATTTGCTAATTTTTTTGTTCATCATCAACTTTCATTCACCAAGATGTTACCTGAAGCGTAAATCGATAGATTAATTAATTGCTTCTGAATACCTAATAGCTATCATTAAGTTGATATTTATCACGATTACCTTGATTACTATCATTTTGATTTTCGTTTCATGTCAACCTTTTCCCATTATAATCTTTAAATCAAACGTAACCAAAATTAATGACAATTATTTTCATAATATAAACAATGGGAAAGTTATTAAACTTTCTCAATGCACATGAATGAAAATTCAGTTGGATCATGAAACAATGTGATACTTTTTGGATGGATTATCACCTTTATCATCATGTTTTAAACTGCTAATCAATTCTCATTGGATGATTTTCAATCTATTGGATTAATTGATTTGAAGTTGTGTTGAAAATGTTCTGATAATGATGATAATTAAGTCGCTATTATCTGTAGAGTAACTGTTTTAATTTCTGTTCCTTGTCAATCCATGTGATCAGAAACAATTAACTTGATTCTAGATCATTAACACTAAGTAAATAACGGATTAATTGTTTACCAATTGTGTGGTAATCATATGGATTTTTGTAATGTAAATCAAAGGATATTGATGGCATGAAGCTACTTTGGTGACAAATTTTTCTGGTTCATCCATCATGTCGTGACGATATTCTGATTTTGTTTATCATGACTTTTTTTCTAATCAATTTCTCTTGATCTTTTTGATTACAGTTGCTCCTAAATTATCATTATCTCTTGGATCTAATCTTTATCATGATCAAGTCAGGGAGTCGAGCGATGTCACATTTGAATGTCATGTAATCTCAAATCCGCCCATTTCATATGTTTCATGGCAATTCAATGGACGTTCATTTTCAAATGCTAATCAAATTAATAATAATAATTCACCCAATGAAATCTCAAGTGATTTGATTATTTTTCGTAATCACTCATTGACCATACGAAATATAACTCATCATCGATCGGGTAAATATCGCTGTTCAGCTGAAAATGTTGAAGGTGATGGTTATAGTCATGAGATTAATCTCAGAATTTTATGTAAGTATATTTATCTACTGCTCTCTTTATTTTCTAATATCATTTATTCACGGAGAAAATTGAAAAAGAAAAATTCATCAGAACTGAATTTCTTTTCTCTCCCTTGAACCAAGATTAAATGTTTGAATGGAAAAGGTTAATAAACGATCAGTTTCATTTTTTTTTCAAAAGAATTTTTGAAATTTTCTATCCTGAAAATTACAATCTTTCCTTTGATTCTTTTTCCATCATCATGAAATTGATTGAGATATTACATTGAAAATATTTCTTGAGGGTAAAAGGAAACATTATTATGAATGAATGAATGAATGGATATTATCATTTTTATCGGTCATGTTGAAAGGTCATTCAGTGTAATGTTTGAATCTGAATATAATGATAATAGTCATACAAATGATAATAATAATATAGTCAAATGTTGTTATTGAACGGAAATGTTGGGTTACTGATCATCTTCGTCTTGTTCATATTTTCATGATTCATGTTGATGTTCAAATCGATGAATCGATAAATTTGATTGCCAAACGGAATCATGGTTTTCAAAGGCAATAGTTGATGATTGATTGTTTTTTCATCGCATTGGATTCATTGTATTGTAATAATGAGTAAACAAAAGCAGATGCAGATGATAAAGAGAGAGAGAGAGAGAGATAGAGAAATGAAGGATCAAGATAATGATGATGATGATCAGAGGAAGATAGATAGTGAAAGAAGAGGAGACAGGGAGCTGAGGATAGAGAGAAAAAAAAATCAGGATTCTGAGATTGATGCACAGAATGATGTGGATAATGGTAATATTTTCCAACGTTGCTTCATCATTTTCATCATCAATAGTTGAGTTGTTGTTCATCTTTGCTCTATTGAATAATCAGAATAATCTACTAGAATAAATGTCTTTCGCACTTTATCCCGAATCATGATGTTGAGTTGCACAATCATCACGAGGAGCGAAAAAAATATTACAAATGAAAATGAACAAAGAATACAAATAATGAAAATTATAATTAGTCATCATAAGTTCTGTGAACAGGAAATTCATCTGAATAACTTTATAAACTGCCATGTTAACTCTAATATGATGACTCTTTTGAGCGTAACATGATTAAAATGACGACAGATCGAGATGAAACTAGCAGAAAATGTAAACTTGAATCAATTTTTTCTCAAATTGTCTTCATATTCATAAATTAATCTACTCATCAATGGTGTGTCTTTACATGAGCAATTTTACGAGTTAACCAATTAAACTTTTCTATTGTCGACCATTGATTGACCAATATTTCATGTGAAACTTTTAATTGCTCGTTGTTGTGAAGTATTTAGCTCTTGGTTGATTCAATACAATTTCATCATTATAATGATGATGATGACACGAATACAGTATAATGTATATTATGTTTGTTATCGAGAATATCGAAAATGTTGGTAAAGAAAAGTTATTTGAGATTTTTTTTCTCTGTTCACTCAAGGGAATCTATCGATTAAAATCATCTTTGAATCACCTTACCCACTGTGTATGTATCTGTGTGTGATTCACGAATTTCTGTATCATGAACTTTCTTATCCCATGAGATGTTGAGATGTTATTGTTGTTACTTGTTTTACCTTGAAAAGCCACACAAACAAAAACTTTGAGCCATTAACATGAAGCTAGAAAATATTTTCGCTTCAACATAATATATCAACGAAGCCACAAATAATACTCTCAACAATTTAATATGAAACATTTTACCTTCTTATTTGTACTGATCGAGGGAAATGGTTAAACTTTCTATATACAATATACATTATCCTTATTCTTATCATCATCATCATCTTGCCACATCATTTATTGCACCATAAACATTTTACTCATCCTTTTCATGAGAGGTAAAAGTTTCTAATACTTTTTGTTTTCACCTGATACTTATATTAATAATGAATTGCATGCTAATCTGGGTGAAAGCATTTCCCAGTAATGAATAATTGCTTCTTATCAGTTGGTATCATGATTTAAAATCTTTTAATATTGAAAGAAAAACAAAGAAAATGTTAAATAGTAATAGTAGCTTTTGGTTAATCAGTTCGATAAATTTTCTTCTAAAATGAATTTTACTCTGTTGATCTGATACATAATCAAAATATGCTAATTTAATGATAATTTTATCGAACAAAATATTTATTACTCACTTTTCCATCGTTATAGCTTCTTAGAATTCTGATTTCATAAGGAAATATGTCTTAGCATTTACTGAATTATCCCAGCCCGTGACCATTGATAAGTCTAGTAAAAATCTCATCTCAGATTCTGGAATAAAGTAACAATTTTCCTTAATGAATAATAATGAAAATCTATTAAACGCTAACTAATTATTCCAATAACTTTTGGAATAATTGATTTCATGCAATTAACTTACATAAACCCAACAATTATCGTTTAACTGAGTAGATAAATTAGTGTTTAATTGTTTACACTTATGAACCATAAGTTTGTATTATAATATATGCATATGATTTAAAGTTTGATTGGTCACGTAGAAAGTTAATTGCTACTCATCAAAAGGTGAATAGTTTCAGTGAAATGATCATTTATCTTGATG